GTACTCCCTATCTAGGTACATGGACCCTTAGGGCTAGCTTCACGGGCTTCTCTAGGCCTGACAGGATGTAGAAGTAGCCTGAGAAGCAGACCTGCAGCCGCGTCACTTCAGCCGCTCTTACAGGCCTACCGGGCTCAAGCCTGAAAAAAGTTTGGCGGAGCGGACAGCAGGAACCACACCACATCAGAAGCACGCAACTTGCACTGCTTCAACGATACGTCCAAGGATATGAGAGCCATAACGCCCAGCGAAGCCTACCTCTTCGGAACCCCTGAGTGGAGCCACCCCCCCCAACACCACAAGCTTCGCAAGTCAAACGGCTTCGTGCAGCCTGCACGCCTTCCGCCATGCCTTCGCAAGCTGCAGATAGCTTGAGCCTCCTCGCTGCAGTTTGACCCCCAAACCCTAAAATCTCTGAAGCTGGGAAAGCGGGCATGGTGAAGCTGGCATGATACAAGTTCGCATTCAATGTCCAGTGTATTCGAGAAGTCCTGCGGAGTGGTTCGTCCAGCTATGTGTGTGCCCAAGAATTCATATAAAACTCTACAGAGCACATCAGCGCAGCGTCAGCTGACCTTGGGGACCACATGAACCCTAAAATTGAGGTCATATATACCCTACACCACTATAATTCATTCCAGTGAAGGTATATGAACCCTAAACCCTTCTAGGGTTCATTTGGTTTGGGAGATTACGCCCGTGTGTTCGCCGTTTCATGGAGGATGGCGCGACGACGTGCCAGGTCTCTACAAGTAAGGTCGGCCTTCTTAAAACTGCGTTTCCGGCACTTGTAGCCTAAATTAAATAGCTATGTCGCAGTTTAGGGCCCTTATAACTGTGCTTCTAACTAGGGGATGGTTCCTGTTCTGGGAGCCCTGTTGTATGACGGACCCTTATATTTCAGGGTACGGACCATATGTGTTTAGGGTTTAGGGTTTCGGGTTTAGGGTTCGCAGTAGTCCAAGCTTGCTCAGTTGCCGAAATCTTCGAATACGATGTCCGCGGTGCATAAATTACATAATTCACCTCCTGAGGAAGCACTGCTGCTTCACTTCTTTCATATGCAAATATCTCGGTCGGTCATGTGAGAGGGACACTCGTGATAAACACATCCTACTGCAAAAAAAACTGAACCCTGAACCCTAAACCCTACACCCTAGACCCTACACCCTAAACCCGAAACCCTAAACCCGAAAACCCTAAACCCTAAACCCTAAACCCTACAAATTCCCCTTCACCAAGGCATCACCTTCAAGCCCTCCAGAGAGGATCGGCAGCTTCTGATGTTTTTTTACCGGGTGTAGGGTTTAGGGTTTAGGTTTTTTTTTCTCAGGTGTCTTAAGCCCTCTGAAGGCCGAACGCAAAGGCTTGGCCCTGAAACTCTGAGGTTTAGGGTTGAGGGTTTAGGGGTTAGGGCTCTAGGGTATAGGGTGGCAACCTTCCGCACCGGCCAAGATGCATTGTGCGCGTGGTGGTTGTCTCTTGATGGGCCGGGGGCCAGGGCGGGGGGGGCGGCCGGGCAGGCGGGGCGGGTACATTCTTACGTGACGAGTGGAAGAAGCACTCCATGGGGCATTATGAGAAGCCCCAAGCTTAACCTTATGCCCCCTAGGAAACTCATCCCGCAAGCATGGCGACTTCTGAGTTCGGCACAACGAGGTGACAGGGACGCGCGCGAGCCTGCGCGAGGTATTTACGTTGACGGCTTTGCGTCCCAAACCCGAAACCCTAGTCCATGTACCTAACTATTGTATATACACTTGGGCCCCAAAGTCCCTATATAGCAAGTACTTTAAGGCCCAAGTATTCCCTATTTAGGTACTACATGGAATTTTAGGGCAAGCTTGCAAGCGAATCAGAGTGAGGTGGGATGAAAGAATACAAGCTACACTCTGGAGCTTGAATCCCCAGACGCCCCAGTGAGGGTTGAGGGTTTAGGGTTCCTAAACCCTAAACCCTAACCCGGTTTAGGGATCCTCCACTCAAAAGCTTGAATCGCCGCCATGGCGAGAGGGTCGGAAAAAAGGGTTTAGGGTTTAGGGTCTAGGGTCTAGGGTTTAGGGTTTAGGCTGTAGTTACGAATAGTGTCCCCTTATGGTCCCTGTATGTCTATAGTCTAGTAACCGCCCAAAACCCTGAAGGCCACTATATGATGCTGGTTTGGCTTCAGGGATTTTTGGGGTTTGCGGGGATGGGCCCGCCTTCACTATTCTAGCTGTAGTTGAGGGACTTGCTGCTTGTCTTACAATGCTTCTAACCCTAAACCCAGTTATGGCCTAACTCTGCTTATAACTGGGCTTAGCATGGCTCTTAAAACCTCTATGCCGTGATCCCTAAGCCCTAAACTCCAGACTCCTTATATAAACCCTTGGCAGACCCACACATCCTACATGAAAGGCAACCTCCACGCTCCCCAAACTCTGAACCCAAATCGACTCGCCAGGAGCTGGGCCCAGGCCTGGGTTTAGGGTTTAGGATTTAGGGTTTAGGGTTTAGGGTTGGGTTCAGGAGAGGTTGTCATGTTTGTAGGTCTGGCTCGTCTGGCAGTCATCAAGTCCGGATTCAAAAAACAGGATAACAAAAGGTTGAAAATTGAAAACAGGTAGGGCCTTGAAAAAGGGTAACGGTGCAAAAAAGGGTTTAGGGTTCGCAGCCCAGATGCAAAAAGGTGTACCACCTGTGATGCTTCTGAAAACAGGGCCTAGAGGAGGGAACCTTCTAAGGGACCTTCGAGGCTACGTGTGGGCTACTTAGGTACCTAGGAGCTTCTTAAGGTGTATATATGTATATATATATACACATATTACACACACACACACCCGAAACCCGAAACCCCAAACCCTAAACCCCAACCCTAAACTGTAGGGGTTATATAGGGGTTATGTAGGGGAATAAGGTTCAGGGCCCCTTCTACTTGGAGGTTCATGGTACTTACTAACCAATTATCGCTGTACTTGTAACTGTACTTACAACCATACTAGGGCACTTTAAGGGGCTTCTAAGTGGGTTATAAGTACAGTTGATAACTGGTTAATAACCCTAAACCCTAAACCATGAACCTCCAAGTAGGGGTGCATCCCTTGAATGGCCTTGAAGTGTACTTGAAGGGGCATCTGCGGTCTGGGCATGTCAGGGTTTAGGGTTTAGGGTCAGGGTTTAGGGTTTAGGGTTTAGGGTTTAGGGTTTAGGGTTTAGGGTTTAGGGTTTAGGGTTTAGGGTTTAGGGTTTTAGGGTTTAGGGTTTAGGGTTTAGGGTTTAGGGTTTAGGGTTTAGGGTTTAGGGTTTAGGGTTTAGTGTACTAGACAATTTCTGGGCCCCTCACTGTTGTTGTTTTATGTTACATGTCACGCGATCCCTACGCCCTGTTTTTGGGTCTTCTGGCATCCAGGACTTAGCCAAGGCTGTACTAACCGCAAGAATAACCACTGTCATCATACTACAGTTTTCTAACCGTAGCAAAAAGGGTGTTTACGGAAAAAAGGGCCTCTAATGTATAGACCCCTAAATAGTAGGATTCCCTTATAATCAGGACCCGAATAAGGTACCCCATATATATT